GCTGTCGATTCACCGTATGGTTTTCTGCGGGTAGCGTCATTTCATCCTTGTTCTTGAAAAGTCTGACTTACGACTCCGAAGTTGGGATTTTCGGTCTGATTGTGAGACGAAGTGAGAAAGCGTCGACTGTGCGGCGGATTTCCGTGAAGGCGAACGCGTATTCGACCCGGCTCGAATTCCGACGCTTGTGTAGTACGTTCGTGAATTTATAGCCGGCCGAACGGTTGAAAACCAGAACGAATCCAGGACCAGAGATACCTAGTTTCTGAACTGGAACAGCTGAGCTGAATCAGCCTTACATCCTCGTCGCCTGAAGCGTAACGGTATCACCGGAGTTCGTGCGCCAGCGGCTGTGAGCGTGCGTTGGCTCACAAAACACCCACCCGACCGTTTGCTCTCTTCCGTGCTCGCCCGCCGCGTGCTTATTCCGAGCCTATATTGTGCTTATCGATAAGCAAGCAGTGCTTCTCGGTACTTTTATCGAGTCATCGCTGCGGTACTAACTTATCTGCGTACGCCACTGCGCTACGAGCGGGCGAACGAAGAACCCGGCGGGTTACTCGCCCTAAACCAGGCTATTCAAAGAGGATTAGCTCCGAAAAACGGTGTGATATGGAAACGGAAAAATAAATGGTGGAAGAGGGAAGCTACGAGCGACAACCATCGGCGTCGTCTAGCCGCCAATCTCGTTCTGATTTTCCGCCTCGCGGCCGCGCGGCATTAGTCGTCCGATCCAGCCTCGTTTTTATTGCTCCTGATTTTCTAGTTTTCGTGGCTCGGGTTCACGCAGGATTTGACCTCGCGGGTCCGCAGACGTTCTGCATGCGTCGTCGAGGCGAGCCCGATATACTCCGGACATTCTGGTGTCTCGCGGCCACCAGGTGAAAAGACCGAGAGGCCGAGCCAGAGTAGGAAAGTACAGACAACAGACGAGACAGACTGAAACCAGAAGAGCAGAGAGCGGGAGTCGCGAGAGCGGACGAAGAAGAGAGGTAAGCACATTCGGCGCATCGGATGTTTTCTCGTCGGCCGTTTGCTGCTTTCGTCATTTTTTCCTCCTATGCTCGCGTATTGCTCCCTTCTTTAGAACAACAGAGACGCGAGCGAGCGAAAGTTCGAACCGGCGGTCTTACTTGGCTTAACCCGACCGGAGCCCTGAATGCAGAGATCGTCGTCCGAGCTCAGTCGTCCAAACACGCGCATAGCTCCCGCTGTTTTGATCCCCGGGTTTTGATCTGGATCCGTTTGCCTATTCTCGCTTTCTTGTTCCTACAAGTCTCCGCAACCGTCGCTGGTGTCTTGGCGGAATACGAGACGAAGCAACGAAGAGAAGCGAAACAACTGAGGGCACTCCAATCGGTGGAGTCCGCATTAGCGTAGAGACAACGGGAACAAGACGGAAGACGAGGGAAAGAGCACCGAAATCTCTGGTGAGAATTCGGAGATCCTCCCGGATTTTTCCTTCTCGTCCCCCGGAATGCGATGTCACGCTTCCGTTGTATTCATGCCAATGGCTGGAAAATGCTCCCCCAAGATTCAACCTGATTTGAAGACAAAGAACGTCAATCTGTCCGTCGATTCGTCTTTCGTTGTTCGATGCTCCTCTTCCGAATGTCTCCGTGCTTCGATTCCGACCACGCACCCGAGCAAGCGAGCGACCAGCGACCACCAAACGAGCAGCAACGACGACGACGAGAACAAAAAAGAAGAGAAAATACCGCAGATGCGCTATGAGGAGCCACAAATCAGAGGGATCGCTCTCCGGCGAGCTCTTTCCACCGCTGGCTATCTTTCGAAACACATTCCAACTGGACCTAGCCCGAGAAAAGAGCTCCGACTGAGGAGCACGGGATTGCGAGATTCCCTTGGATTTTAATCGTTCCATTGGCTCTGAATGAGATTCGAATCTCTCCTGAATACGAGCAAAAAATCGAAAGTTCCCACCGGCCAAGAGGTTTTCTATGCTAAATGAGGAGTTAGGTGTATCGTGAGATTGAGCATCGGGAATGCGATTGATCCGGAGCCGGGCAGAACGCGAACTGCTACGAATCGCAGCGGAGGAGCGCGCGGCCGGGAAGCGACGAGAAAGACCCCCGGCGGACATGTGATAAAATCGCTTTTATTGACACATTCGAGAGCCACCGGAACGTAGGCGGCCGCAAGCGAAAGTCTCCGGTGACCACTGAAGCTGGCCGTCCACGTGTTCGCTGATCCGACCACGACGAGAGCAAGCTCCGATAGAAACATGGAATGAAGAGAGGGACAAATGAGGAACTTGAGCAGAGACTCGAAGAGAAGAATCAGATGAGAGCACAAGATCCATCGGCGACTGAATAATACGAACACGATAGCGGTAGTGAAATTCCGACGAGTCCGTCTATTCTCTGCGGATATCGGGCACGGAGAACTCTCATTTTCGTTTCTTGAAGTCCTGGATTTTAGAGCCGATACAAGAAACCGAACGGTACGGATTCGAATTCTTCAACTTCAGGAATTATTGAAAGGGAATATGTATGAGAGGAAAGCTATCGGGGGCAATGGTTTTCTATTGTTCCGATATGGACTCCGGGCCGGAACAGAACCCCTCCGGACGGTCTTGTTTTTTTTACAGCTATTGTCCGGCTTTTGTTTTTTCTCCCCGAGAATTCTTTCGATTTTTCATTTTTCGTACCTCTCCACGCCCATCCCATGGCATCACCTCCGCCTTGACTGGAGTGGTAATCGAACGTTTCGGCCAGGGAGGGGAGGGGAACGCCGTGAAAGCGTCATGGACGTGATAGACGTTCTTGTGGACGTGATAGACGTGGGACCGCGGGGATTCGGACTGCCAATCATTATTTTCGTCTATCGATCGTTCAGGCAAAGTAGGCACTTGATTTTTCTCTTTGTTTTTCGAGCCTTGGAAACGAACTGTCAGATAGACACCGACCAAGCGAGTTTCGCGATCGATGAACAAGTTTATAAACAGATGGGGATCGAAGCGAAGCCGTCTCCGAGAAGAGATCAAAGAAAGCAGCGGAAGAGTCGATGAAGGGCGGCTGATGGATCTGATGGTGAAGAATATATGTACGTCCGCTCGAAGAGGGTCAGTCACTGGATGTGTGAAACCAGGTCTGCTCGAAGTCGGCAAGAGCTCAGCTTCAGAAATTGAGCTTTTATACCATCAAAACGAGGAATTCCTTCCGCTCGCTCAACAGGTCTTCCTTCAGCTGCCGCTCACAACGTGTGGCGTACCGAGCGGCAAACTGTGTTTAAAATAAACGGGCTCTCTCCGACCGACCCTTCTGCTGCTTGTACGGCTCACGAAAAACCGAGGAGTCTTTTCCACTGTCAATTTTTTGCTGCTATTTACGGCGTCCCGTGTCGCGGGATTTCTCCTAAAATAGTGAGCACGAGTTGATAGAAGCCCCCCGATGAGAGGGCGACCGCGACGCCGGGCGTCGTGCGTTTCGCTGTGGCGTTTTCAATGTGAAATCCGACGTCCCGATGAACACACGAGCGAGCGAGCTCGCCAAACGTAGACTAACGGAAGAGCGGGCGGCGGCGGCAGATGTACGAAGCATCGCATAATACGACCATGACTCGATCAACGCCGATGCTAATAAAATCCGCGGTAACGGAACGATGGATATCACGAACCTCGATCGGCGTCGGGTACTCAGACGGCTTCAAAAATTAGAAGGCAGAAACGCTATTATATGGCTCAGAAATCTGTAGGGGCACAGATAGGAGAGTGAGGGAGAAAATCCGCGCCATCGAACGCGAGACGGAAATAAGACGGAGAGAGGAAACAGGATATAATCCGGGGAAAGAGGAGAGACGGGAAATATGTCGGTTTTTCGATCTACTTGGTAATTAGTTCCTACTCACGGTATGGAGGATTACAATGAGAGAATGATGCCATCCTTGCTCCCTTTTATCCCCATCTGCTACATCTCTCTTACTCCAGAAGCTCTCGCTGCCTCTCCCGTCACTTCCTTATGAAGTCCCTCAAGCCTCATCCAACCTCCCGTCTCCGATGCCCCCCTTCCCTCCGTTTCCCCGATCGACGTCCGTCAAAAAGCAGAGATAAAGGCGGCTACGTCCGGGTGTTATAATGATGTACGCGGTTTCGATCGGGAAATCGACTACCGAAATCCGGAGACTGTTTAAAGCCCCGGTTCGGCGACTCGGCTCTCCCTCAACAAGAAGAAGGAGCCGGGGGATTTAATATTCTTGTGACGAGAGCTCGCCCCTGTCATTCGCTCCTATCGATGCCGGTCGCAGCGGCGACGATGATGATGCATGTTGACCGATCGGAAGAACTTCAACGCTTCCTTTTTTCCGTCCATCGCGTTTTCTTGCCACGCTCCTCGGCTCCGACCGATGTTAATTCCTTGGTCACTCGATGGGACTCTAGTGCATTAATGCCGAGATTATAGTCCCCGGAGAGCATTTCTGATTCCGTGCGACTCAATGACCAAGATCACATCAGATGATGGAGAGGAATCTGAGTGAGTCTCCTGGAAACCGAATCGGTCACGATGCGTAAAACGAAGCCATCTCCCTAAAAGCGTCTGACTCAGTCCCTGTAGGCTTGTGATCTTTTCCCCATTCGCTGTTTCCGCATTCCCTCCCGCGTCGCGCATTCTACTTGATTTTTGGCAAGTTTTCTTGTCTTCTAGAAGCTTTCGGAGGCAAGGTTCAATTCGTCGCGGCACCTATCGGCTCTGGCCTTATTGCTCGCAAAGAATGAAAAGAAGAAGCATCGAGCCGTTCTGGGAGCGATTATGTCAAGTCCGCTCGACTCGCATCTCGCTTTGAACGCTTGTTGCCTCCGCTACCCAGCCCCGTGAATTCGGACGACACAAATTGTTGAATGCCAGTCAGCATGCCGGAAGCGGGAATGAATGCTCGCGTATTGGAATCGATCCGAGACTCGATAGCCCGCTAAAATGCATTTCCACTTTCCCCCCGAGCGTCAGAGGCTACAGTATGACTCAATCGAATTTTCATTCCAGGTGTATTCGATCAGCGACAGCTTCCGTCCCAGAACTTCCAAGAAACACAGTGAGTTCTAGGAATTATCGGGCAATCCGTTTGAGTTCGTCATCCCTTTCGCTTTATCGGATACCTTCTCGGGCTAGACGACGTGATTCCGGGGCGAAACTTCCAGAGTCTCGGAACGTTTATTGCAAGAGGGGATAGGAGGCCGGCAATGGTCTCAAATCCCTGAGCGAAGGGCTCCACGTGACGTGAGCGAGCCCACTCGATAAAAACAGTTCCTCGCTGATGGGCCGCATCTCCTCTACTAGTTTCCATTTTTTCTTCGCGATTCCCGAGTCGACTCGGTCAATCCGTCAGTTTTTCCGATCCTTGTAGTCAAGTTGTAGTCGGGCGACGTGTCCGACGCACCATTGACATTTTGGTCAGCGAACAAAAACCTCACACTGACGTATGGCAGAAGAGCGCAGAAAATCTCACGACGACTTCAGCGGCAACGATCTCCAACCTCTTTGGGATCCTATGCTGTTACTCCTCTGCAGACCCGATACCATATGTCGCTCCGCTGCGGAAGCCCATGGACTCAACGTAAAAAATCTACTGCATAAAAATCGTGCCTCCGAAAGAGCTTCATAAACATATAAGGCAAACGTGCATCAACTCGCTTATGTGACGACTGCTGGCTGCCAAGTGACCGTCCGAACCCATCCGTCCCGCTGAGTGGATGAATAGATGGAAAAATTGATGGACGAGCTCCTGTCCGAGAGGTACATTGAGATGGGGGACCTCGGATGGAGAGAAAAACACGGAGGGAGAGGAACGAAGTCCACCGGCAGACCGAAGAATCACCCCACGACGTATCGCAGCCCCTGCACATCGTCGGCGCTACCAGTAGACGTTTGGCTCGGCCGGGCAGGAAGGAAAACTGAAAGGGAGAGAACCGGAGAGACGGAGCAATCCTAGTTAGGGGACAGCACCGCCTGCCGGTTGGTTGCGAGCTCCGGTTTTCAACCGGTCGGCTGCTCCAGCAGGATGAGCGTTATGCTGACGCGACGCGTATTTTGCGGCCGCTTTCTCCGTTGCTACTTTTCTCGCTCGTTGCATCTCTCCGTTCCCCCATCTCCCTCTCTCTCTGAGTCTGATCTCAGAGTGCGGCTCGATGGTGGTGTGTCACCGCTTCCTGCTGTAGTCCTGTAGCTGCAAGGAAAGCGGCTCCATCTCGAATAGTTGGAGGATGACAGGAGGAAGAAAAGGAGAGTTGAGATGATGTCCACGTTCTCAGTACGTGGCGACGGCGGACGCCACGTAAAAACCCCAGAGTAGCCAACAAGGCTGCAAGCCAACGCGACTTGTCGCTTGGTCGGTCTCATCATCTGATGGTGTCAGCAAGCAACTGTCCGTTCTTGCAACTCTTCGTCGCCTCCCGCCCCCTCCTCTCCTTCGCGCCCTTCCTTCCCCACTCCCCCAGCGCTTGCGCGAAAAGGGTTCTTTGACTAACCAAGCGAAAACGAGCTCTGATATCAGGCGACGGACCGGCCTAGCCGTAATCGGCCAACGGAATGCCAGAGAAACGCAATCTGAGCTGAACGGGAACCGGACAAACGGCTCGGACCCGGGTAACGAGTCCTGGAACCAGGATTCAACAGCGGCGGGGGTCTGTGTGCCGGCTCCAGGACAGATTCATCGCCGTCGTTTCCCTCGCCACGGGCTGGGCTTATCCAGAAAACTCCGGAAGTAGCCGTGCGTGCTTTGTCAAGACGTACACGTTGACAAGGGACAAACAGACGTAAGGACGACTATTGCCCACCGGTCTGCATGGCGAGATTCAACGGAGGGATGCGGAACGTTGTGTGACGATACTCGCGGCCCGCTTTCCTTATCTACGGTGAATAAGCAGAGTAGGCATTGTGGCTCATTTGCCTTCGTGCCGGTCCGTTCGCTGGCAAGCACACGCTATTCCTCACCTGGTCCGAAATTCTACCTGGTGCGAGGCGTCCTCGCAACCGTAGGCGCTCCCCGTTCCGAATCCAACTAAGCTCCTTCAGCAGTTCTTCTCTCTCGTTCCCGAAACGTCGTTGTTCCCCCTCCGAGACCGCGACATTGCGTCAACGCGTTCGCAAACGACCTCCTGACAGATGCTCTGGAGTGAAATGGTGCACTTTCTATCGACTTCTTTAACTATTTTGAAAATTTCTCGGTGGGATCCTGCCGAGCCCTGAGCCCGATCTTGGGGACGAATGACTCGTCAAACGACTTATCTCCCTGTGAACCGCACTGCGATCTTCTCAGCCCGTTCACCCCAGCCTTCGTCGACGGCCATGCGTCGGAATGGGGTTTCTGTCACAACAAAAACAGAAATCTGATTCGCTTGTCACTTGCAGATCTCACGACAATTTGATACGCTCATCACATATCGCTGTTACAGCTAACAGTGGTAATGACAACGATACGCGCGACGTGTTTGTTCTCAGCAACACTGCCTTCGCGATGCTTCGTGGCACGGCGTACACACCTCTCGTTAAGGCGCTTCATTTGACGGCCCGACGGCTTCAGTTCCTTGATATCTTGAGCCAGCTCAACGAGCGAAACGGTGGTATAAACCGATTGCGTTGCACTGCAGACTTTAGGCAGAATCAGAGGGAATTCCGTTTCGCGAAGATCGTGGCAAGCGGGCATCGTGAACGTAAAAAAAGTTCGAAGGTACTTCTCGAATCGACGCTTCTTCCGTCCCTTTGTTGAATTACCAAGCTACCCCGCCATTGATTCATCCGACTTATCGATTCGCCATCCGCTGAATCCATCTGACGCTGTTCAGATTTGAATAGTTATTGAAATCAAGGAGTTTCGACACTTGTTGCCTCAGTTTTTCGACACTAGACGATGCACCGTCGATGGATCCGTTCCGCTCATCCCAATGGAGAACGACTGTCGGATTCGCACATTCGGATTCGGGCTTAGAGCCAGTCTCTCCGAACGCCGGGCGAGAATAATTTACGATGGAGAAGGAATCTCCCGTATATTCCCTGGTCTCGTTGTGAGCCCCCTCATCCGTAATCCTCTCAACTCCTAAGGAATTGAGAAACTCAATGAATGTTCTGGTTTCCTTCATGTACTCGACCGTAAGACAGGCGCCAATCTTGATTGAGTCATCGCGGTTCGTCACACAGCAGCCAACGATTGCACTGACAGCAGTGAACGCCCCACGAGGTTTTCTCCGGGGACCTTTGCTGGAACACGTCGGGGGCTCGAGCCCCCATGTATGCCGCCCGCGCCAATGCCCGCAGCGGCTACATTAGCCCTGGTGGTCGTGACGGTGTTGATGGCGGTGCTCGGTGGCGAGCGAATGACGAGCAGAAAGTGACACCGAAGCTCTGCTTGACCGTTGACCGGCCAGCTTTGCTGTGTGCCTCAGCAGACATCCACCCGTCCCAATGCCGCGACGTCGACCTACCGAAAGAACCCGAGGGGACCTCCTCGTCCCTCCATCTCCCCTTGCGGGCTCATGGAGTCACGGATAGAGGTTGACACCGCGGCGCCCCCGAAGCCCACCTACGGATCCAGTCGTGTTTCTTGTCAACAACGTCAGCTAGCAGGCGATGTTCATTTCGTCCCGCTCAGAGGGGGACACGGAGCGGGAAAGGACGGGGAAGAGAAGGAAGAAATGAGGATGCGGCGAGCTATCAGAGGACCGACTTGGGATGTGTTCGCTCCGAGTCGGCTATAGCTTTAGCTTCGGCCTTCTCCTTCACTTGATCCGTCGCGTCGACGATCGAGACGAAGGAGACAGATATCCGAGCAAACATAAATCGAGGAGATCACAATTTTCGAATCAATCGGAGTCCGAGTGCCCAAGGTGAACTGGATAAGTATGTCCTCCGTCGAAGACACTCGGGAAAGCTTCAGAATGGCGAATCGAACCGAAGCGATCAATCCGTAGTTTTCCTCTCATGTATTTAATTCCCTCCGAGTTTCCATACTTGTCGCAGTTCAATTTTTCTCTCAGAAGTCCACATTTATCACAATGTAGTAACTTGGAGTTGCCATGTGGTAGGAGCTCATAGCGCCTTTCTTCGCGCAGAGAGGAGCGCCGCCGACGAGGTTCCCACAAACTAGATCAAGTCTCAGGATGAGTGTCCATTGAGAATATGTGCGGCAAGCCACCAACGCCGTCGCCTTCGTTGCGGTGGACGAGAAGATGTCCTTGCAGAGATAACTCTCCTAACGTCAGACAAAGCGAGGCGAGCTCCGACGCGTTTTCGACCGAATCCCCGACGGATTTGAGAATTCTCGCGGTTCGGCTCAGATGTGATTGTTGCCAGCATTTTCGGAGCGCTTGTTGACAAAATGAAAAAAAAGACGTCCGGGATCGCAGACAAGGCGTTGCTGAGCCCCTCGAACTCGAGAGAGGCGGAAAAGCAATCACTAAAGGACAGAACCGCGACAGAGCGCGAAGAGTAACACACTTAAACGAGAGACAGACTATCGCTGCCACCCCAGGCTGCTCGCCACGGTCGGTGCCGTTCTCGTTATCGGCGTCAGCTAAGAGCGTCTGAGTACTAGGTATGTATAATTTAGTATTGCGTGTTCATCGCGGCATGGCGGCATAAATGTTGTTCGGCCGGACACTCGATCGCGGACCGCTCGCAGGGACTCACGGATCCTAAGCCTCTGTTTGTCAACTCGCCAGCATGCCATGCCGTCGCCACGACGACGACCGTTCGGCTGCGGTCGTCGAACGCTGCGAGGGTTTTGAAAGTGGTCAATTTTGCGTGATTGTGCTGGAAAAGTCCCGAAGGGATCGGAATGTCAAGTTACCGGTCAGCTGACCATTCGACCACCGACGCAGCACCCAGCGAAGCGACCGGGTGACGCGGCCGGGAAACCGTCATTGAGTCCGATCGACGGCACCAGAAACTTGAATGAACGTCCAGAAAAAAATCCATGAAGAGTTGTTTCCTTCTTCGATTTTTTCGTTTCTCGAGGTCGACCTTTGTCTTCTGAGGATTTCACACTTACAGACAAAACTTAGCCAGCGTCCCCATAGCTTCTTCACGCTCTCAACGATG